TATTTTGCTCACATGGAGTTTAAATGTTACTAGTGCTTGGTAAAAACTGGTTACTTCAGTAGTCCAGTTAAAAGATTCCTTTAATGACTGATGTATTGTAAAAGGAACTAGTAGGTTCTTCTTTGAGAATTGTTTCACAGAACTTTAATTTCCACTCTTAGTTTTAAGTGGAAGATATTTGTCAAGGGTACAAAGTTTTATTTATACAAGGTGGGTAGTTCCCAGAAATCCACTGTACAGAATAGTGCCTATAGCAACAATATAGGCACTAATATTGTATACTTCAGATTTCACTAAGACAGTAGATTTATATTACACACACACACACACACACACACACACACACACAACCTGGGAGGAAACTTTTGGAAGTAATAGATATATTCACAGCATAGATTACAGTGATAGTTTCACAGGTGCATTCTTATCTCAAAATCATCAAGTGGTGTTCATTAAATAGTGTTACTTTTTGTATGTCAGTCACACCTCAATAATGTGAGATTTTTCGAAAGGAATAAAAGTAAACTAATAAAGACAACTGGCAAATGTAGCATAGGAGAGAATAAAAGGCTTGATCTGTGGCCTTGAGTTCGAATTCCAGCCTTGCTACTGCTAGCTGTGGGATATTAGGCAAGTTGCTGAACCTCTTTGCACCTTAGTTTTCTCATTTATAAGAGTAGGATTTTTATTAATCATACCTGTCTTCATGCATTAAATGAGATTTTACATATATATATATCATCTAGCAGAGTGAGTGGAAACGAATATTTGCTTAATAAATGGCAGTAAGACCAGGTGTGATGGCTCACACCTGTAATCCCAGCACTTTGGGAGGCCAAGGCAGGCAGGTCACCTGAGGTCAGGAGTTCAAGACCAGCCTGACCAACATGGAGAAACTCTGTCTTTACTAAAAAATACAAAATTAGCTGGGTATGGTGGAGGAGGCTTGTAATCCCAGCTACTCAGAAGGCTGAGGCAGGAGAATCGCTTGAACCCAGGAGGCAGAGGTAACAGTGAAGCCCAAATCGCACCATTCCACTCCAACCTGAGCAACAAGAGCAAAACTCCATCTCAATAAATAAATAAATAAATAAATAAATAAATAAATGGCAGTAATTATTGTGATATAATTGAAATCAAATTTTTAAATGTTAAGGTGTTTTGATCTTCATTTTGAACATTTTAATTCATATGTTTATGAATTTTAGGTTCTTCATAGGTACTGGTTAAAACGCCATCACAGATCTGGATTTGAAATTTGCTACGTAACTTGCTTGCAGGTTAATTTTTCTCCTTCTCTGTGTTACTATCTGGGAACTGGGGGGAAACTCATATGTACCTAAGCACTGTGCCTGGTGTGTAATAATCACTGCTATTATTCATTTATTCCTTCATCTAAAAAAATTAGCATTTTGATATTTGTGTTCTCATTGAACAGTAATACTTTTCTTAAAATAGTTAAACATTTCATTCTTTTTCATGGTGCTTTGAATTTTTCTGTACTTTCATAATTTCTCTGAAGAGATACTGCATAGGTTAAAATTCACCTCATTGCAGCTAGTTACATCCATTTACACTACTCATCCTTTCTCTCTTGGTGTGTGTGTGTGTGTGTGTGTGTGTGTGTGTGTATTTCTATGGAACAATTTTCAACATTTATTTATTTGCCCACCCCCTGTGTGTCTTACGAAAAATGGGATTTGATTTTAACTTTTTGGCATGAAATTCTGACTCATTTCTTAGCCGGCTTGTTTTTCACTTGATTCAAAACAAATTCAAAAGTAAACCTGGGATGATGGAGCATGCCTGTAGACCCAGTTACATGGAAGACTGAGACAGGAGGACAGCTTACGCCGAGGAGTTTGAGACTGTAGTGTACCACGATTGCTCCTATTAATAGCTACTGCACTTCTGCCTAAATTGATAGTCATTGAAGACAGAAAATCTATATGTTTTGTAAGAATATCCTTTCTTGTATATCATATATGATTCAGCAGTTGCCATTTAATGAAGTGCTAGTGATCTCTCAAATGGAAGAGTGTGTTCAAATTAGGTGAAACTATCCATTGCCTCAAATTCCATGATCAAAACACTAGAAATACATTTCTTAATAATTCCTTTAACTTCTTTACCTTAATTCAGAAATAAGATAAGGTTTTGAAGTAATTTGAGGATGTCATAAAATAACCTTTTTTTCTTCAGTATATCTAAAATTTCTTTACAACTACAGATAAAAAGATCTGATAATATTCTACTTAATACTTCAATCAGTTACAATATTCTGTCAATTCTATCTCAGAAGTGTTTGTCAAAAAAACCCTCTCAATTCACCCCATGGCTCCTGTCTTAATTTGGGTCTTCACCATCTCTCACTGACAAATTGAAGATTGAATGGTTGAAAGTAGCATTTGGGGAACACCTACTCAGGGCTGGAGATGCAATGATGTACCAGATCAATTCCATCTCTGCCTTCATCCAACGACTACTATCCCTCTTGTTGCATTAGGCTTTTCCCGACTTTCAGCCCTCACCTTGTTCTCCTTCCACATTAGCTTCTATAGCATCTCTACCCAGTTTGTTTCTTAAAACCTTTCAATGGTCTTCACTGACCAAAGGTTAAATTCCAAATTATTGACCTTATATAAGGGCTCTGGCAAACTTCTTGACACTGAAATACCTACCATTTTTCATATTTAGTCTTTGAAGACTCAATTCAGAACTCACTTTTTTTCATTGCCTTCACCATCTTTCTTTGGCTGGCTTAGTTTGTTTTATGAATACTCACAATACTTTAAATAGACTTCCCGTAGAGTAGTCATGGTATACTAAATATTATTCTTCTCTCATTTGACTATGAACAAACCAAAGAAACTCCTAAAAATAACCACTTTGATTAATGGTTATTCTAATATCTAAAAGAATTTCTAATTCATTCTTTCATCACATGCCTATTAAGCATTAGTTACAAGTTTGGGACTCTGGGTACTAGAGAGCAAAAACCCTGTAGATGTGTTCTCTGCCTCTATGTTACTACTATGAGAATAAATTAAAACAAGCAGAATTTTCTGGTAAGTTCTTTGGGGTAATTATGCTTTGGAAAGCTGTGGGTGTTAAAGACTGAAAAAGTTACATGATAGGAAGCTTGTCTGGCTCTGACTTACAGTTGGGAGCATGTATCTAGTTTGTGATGGTCTGGAGCTTCCTCAGCCAGTCCCAAGGTCCAGTCATGGTCTAGAGAAAATGGCATTCACCTGGGGATAATTTCTGTGTCTTCATTGGGCAGTTCATGAGGTTTTTTTGGTGATAAATTATAGGTAAGAACCAGTGGAAAACACTTTCCTTTCAATTCTTGTTTTCCTCAGTTTAACGGACATAAGACTTGTGGGTTTTGAATTGAATTTTATGTTTACATTTTTAAAAAGTATTCCCCCCTTTCCCCTTTTTCCACACCTTTCCCCTTTTCTCCTGCTACTCCTTATTCCTCTTCCTCCTTATTCTCTTCTTCCTCCTCCCTCCCTCCCTCCTTCCTTTTCCTTCCTCCATCTTACTTCCCCTTTTTCTTCTTCTCCTCCTCTTCCTCTTTCTCTTTTTCCTTTTCTTTCTCTTCTCCTTTCCCCCTTTTTCCCCTCCTCATTCTCCTTCTCTACCTCTTCCTCCTTTTCCTTCTCTTCTCTCTCTAAAACCATTTTTTTTTTTTGGCCCTACCTTTCATGGTGCTAATTACCATGTTAAGGGCATAGAAGACATTACATAATAAGACAGGATGACAATCTCTTTGCTAGTCAGTTTTATTTTCATGTTGTATAAAGTGTACACACAAGATACAAAAGAGACTACAGTGTTAATCAAGAAAATAATTGATTTCCCAGATTATAAACATGTCTAGACTTTGTATTAAAAGCGAAAGACAGGGATTTTTGAAAATGTAGGGTTTTGGTGTGTTTGTATTTTTAAGCATTCTTCTGGGACAGAGGAGGAAAAAATTACTTCACGAGTTGGTAAGACAATGCTGTATCTTCAAAGCTTGACTTACTTTTAAGTGGTAGTGTTCATGTTGCAATTCACATTGCACAAGCGTTCCCCATGGTATATATTCAGTAGATTTTTTTTTTTTTGCTTCCAAACCACGTATTGGAAGTAAAACTTCTTGGATTACATAGGTTGCATACATAGGTTATTGAAATATGAACACCCAGAAATAGTGAGCTTGTAAATTTATATTGTACATTTTCATATTAACCAAAAGATTTTTGAAGTTTAGTCTACTCTGCATATACTTTTAAGACCTTAATAATCAAACATAGGTATATGTGCCTGAAGTGAAATTGTGAAAAGCTATGGATTTTACCATCTTGTAGAGGATGTACCACATACTTTTGTCCAGAAATAGATAGCATGCCCTAGAAGTATGAGTTTTTCTCATCCTTTACCTCTGTGGGTTAAGAACCACAAAGTTGAAATATAGTCTGCAAGACATACTGAAAATATATGTGTGAAGCAGTGCTAAACTTAATTGATACTTTGAGACAGATATAAAACATACAGCCACTAGACTGAGAAAATGAAAATTATGTATGAACATTTTAGTTAAGGCTGTGCTTTGCCCCAGAACCTGGTGTTTATTATTACGTGCTTTTAGTAGGAGACAGAAGCAGTATCAATTGGAAAAACATTTCTTAGTGGATTAAGAACAGTTTAGCTTTCTAGTTCTTAAGCGGGAAACCTGGTTCTTTGGTTTCTTTGTTCCTAGTTAGGCTTGTCCCCAGTTATTTCAGCTGAACATTTTACATACTAATGGAGTCCAGGGAAGTGTATTTGGCAGCTGCTCATGGGATAATAATGAAATACACTATTTAGTACTGTATGCTGCTGCTGTAAAGTGTGTGGGGTATTTCATAGAGAAATTGGTGAACAGAGCTATATCCACTTTAACAAATGTGTGAACCTGAGTGAGGAAGTTGTACTTTCATATGAGAATAACTAGTACTCTTTTCTTACAGGTAAAGAAAACGTGCACAGAGTCAGATGTTTCAGAACCTCAGAATTCCAGGTACAGTAAAATAAAGACAAAGACTCCTCTAAGGAGAATTGCAGTTTTGGAGCACAAGTAAGATGTTATACGTGAGATACAACTGTGATTTGAAATATTGAGCTTCTTGAAGAACTAATCTTTATGGAAATTGTATATCATGCTGGCTAGCATACCACTGATCATAATATTAGTAAAAAGGATTGATTGAAGTCAGTTTTAAGGAACAATAGTAGAGATATCTCTAGAAATACATTTAAAAAAATCTCTTGGTGTTAAGTTAATCTTAATTTTTTTGTTCTAATCTCTTTTTATAATGTTTTGAATCTAAAATTATGCCAGACACCAAATAACTGTCAAATCTGTGTTTACTATATACCTATATCTGTATCTATATCTACATATATATGTTTTTTTTTCTTTGCAATGAAACATTGCTAGATTTCGCGAATGTTATCAACTTAGGAAACTCAGTTAACTTGGCATTCTCTTTTTATTTATTTGGAGCCTGTGGAAATGATGAATTAAAGTGGTCAGACCACTTCATATAGGAATTTAGCATTATTTAGTTGTTTGTGGTTGAACCAGATGCAAAAGACTTTTTTTTCATACCTACACATTTTCATTGCTTTCATTTTAAAGTCCAGGCTGCAATTTTAAATGGATAAGTAAACGTATTGTAAATACTATGACAATAAACAACATATGTCCTTACTATGTTGGGTGATATGACTTAACCTGTTACATTAGGAAATTTGTATTCAATTAAGAGATGGGTCTTGGTTTCTTTTATCCTACTTTCTCCAGCATGTGCTGCATGTAGTGATTTTCTTGGTACACCAGCACATTGCAGATCTAGGCAAAATGTTAATGGCCACTGTTTTCCTTTTTGTAGAGTAAGTGTATCTTATGTATAGTCCACTTATAGTTTGAGTAACTCTTGCTTTGCTTTATGCAGTATGATAATCCTATAATTGATTCTTGTACATATTATATTAAAATGATCATATATGGTTTTTCCCTTTAGATCATGAAGAGCATATGATGTGATATCAGATTTTTGATCTTTGATTTTTGTTCTGTGTAGTTTGCTGTCAAAATGGAACTATCTAATTTTAGATTATTGGAGCATTAGGAAATGGATGAACCATTACATTTTTCCCTACAAAGCAGAGTAGTTCTAGGATATGCAGAGAGAAGAGAAGGCTGGGGAACTATTCCTTGGAGCCATCTCTCTTCCTAAGTATTTGCTGACCTATGTGAGTGACCTACCTATGACTTGCTTTGTAAGGATGGTATATGTAATTAGATAATTTGTGCAAGCAGCTGATCTTGGGAATTGGGAAAAACAGAGCAATATAATCATCCTTATTATTCATATTTCATATCAAAATTTTTTAGCCCTGAGGCTACTCAGGATTTTTGGACAGATAATACTGTGTTTAAGTAAGTTTTAAACTCAGGGAAAGGAATCAAACTGATTCGTTGTTCATAGTTGGTATCAGTAAGTTGGAGAAGAAATAGAAAGAGTTCAGAGCTCAGTGTGTTTAAACTTGGAATTAGATCATTCTTTTTTATCTAGAAAAATCCCATCCCACGTGGCCTTAAATATACAGTTTTATTTTTAAGAAAAATAATGGTGATTTTTAAAGACTTTTAAAAATTTATTTGTCATTTAATAATAAATGTCTCTGTAAATTGAAAAGTAGCCAGAATTTCTGGAAATCAGCAGTTAGTTGCCATGGATTAGCTGCTGCTTAAAGTTCCCTCATCTATAATATAAATGGGTAAAATCAGGCCAATCAATTTCTAAGAACTTTATAACTTTGTGATATCAAAAACAAGCAAACAGATAAAATATTTTTTCTAAAAATGTGAGATGGAAAGACCTTCCAGAAGACCTAGAGTCATTTATTGGTTCAGGTATTTTGATAGTGACTGGTCTCCTCTCCTGACCTGTGGTACAAGGGCCAATCTCCACTTTCTGCTCAATATCTATCAGTAACGTAAAAATGTGACTGTTCTTGGATCCTGTAATTATACACCGATATTAGGTCTAAGAGTGCCAGAACTGGCACTTAGTTAATGTATTGATGGAACACCAAGGAGAGAATACAGATATACTGAAGAGCACTCTGCACAAAAAAGATACAAGAATTTACTGAATAGTGAACACATCAAGGAATGCTTAAAATAGTATTTATTATATGCATATACTGAGATTCAGTTTTTGCAACCTGTCAAAAAGCAAAACAAAAGATAACCAAACAAGAAAAATGTCTCTAATGTAGACACTAGGCAGCGTGACTTTAAGCTTACATATATGGGTACATTATTTTTTGCTCATTAAGTACCACAAACATACATATTGTTTCTCTCCTCTCCCTGTCTCTCTCTGTCTCTCTCTTTCTCTCTCTCTCTCTGTGTGTGTGTATTAAAGAGAGAGAGAGAAAGAGAAAGAGAGAGACAGAGAGAGATTCAGACTGAGATTTAAAGCTTTAAAGCCCAGAGCTAGGTAATTTTATTCTAAACAAATATCAAGGAAAGAATTGATCGCAAAATGAAATACTGTATCCACATAAAATGTGAGCTGGAGACCTACTGCCTAAAAAATGCTGCCTCACTTGGAATCTAAAGCTAATATTCATTTTATTTAGTTAGCTTTATAGTATGTTGGTTTTGGATTTGAAATGATTAGAATAAATGCAGATGGAAAGTGTTTTTAGAGTAGGGAAGTAATTAAATTGGGTGTGGAGACTTTGTCAAGAGAATTCTTGAAGTGACATATGTGTATCAGCAAATTCTTTTTCTCGTTTGTCCTTCATTCTTTTGGGAAGAAATGCTTGGGCTGCAGATGTAACTAGCAGATTGGGAAAAAGAGAATTTATAAACCCATGGAGTATAACTAAGGCACCAAACTATCCTCTTTGAAATAACATTGCATTTATATACTAAAAGCCAGACATCAGGGACAGTATTTTTTTCTCTGCCTCCTGAAGCTACTAAACTTGATGTCATATGGAAAGGGATATGATGTGCTTTGTGTAAAATCTGACATTCCTGAAATGTTTTTCTTTTTTTCCTTTCCTCTGTGTTGCTAACCATGTCCAGGATATACTATTGTTGGACTTTAACCATAAAATGAGTTCATGAGAAAAACAAAATTTATATCCTTACCCTAAAATTAAGTTTGTTACTAGATAGGCCATCTTAAAACATAAATGATATTTTGCATTGATGTTTTTTTCTGTATTCATGGTGAATTTATTTGTGTCGATTTGGGTCCCATTTGAGTCCCATTTGAGTCATCACTGAAAATACACCGTTCTTATTTAATGTAATAGCTCCCGGACAAATGAATTTTATAGCAGAAGTTTCCATGAATCTTATTTTTTAAACTCCTCTACTTTCAGTCCCTTTTATTTCTGATAATGAGGGGAGGAAATAATTTATCTCATTCTTGAATTCTATACTTTACAAATTTCTCAGAATGTCTCTGTGTTAAAGTAGTGCCTATAACTCACAAATGATTTCTCTGTTGAATTTCTATTTCTGTTTCTCTTTGCTTTTTCTCTCTTGGGTCACTGACTAGCAGTTTCACTAAGAAGAGATCAAAGACATAGGAAGGAAATAAAACTCAAAATAGGAAATTTTTATTTTATACTTGTTAATTAGGGAGTGAATGGAAATATAAATTGGGCTGTGAAGTGACTTAACAGGAGGTAAGCCAGTTCTTGTCCCTCAATAGCTTTGTTTCATCCTGGCCACAGTGTCCCCAGCAGAATGAAGTAAGGAGCTCTAAGGAGGATCTTAAAATATAGGAAGAACTTATGGTATGTATGAGCTAAGATGATAGTTTTTCCACATGGAGGTAACAAAAGATTCTGTGGGTAGTGGGAAGGATTGACCCTTCTCCACTTTGTAAGTTAAAAAAGTTGAGTTTGCTGAGAACTTAATGATTACCTGAAATTAGCATTCCTCGGCCTCTGTCTTCTTGCCCTCATCTTTACTAGCTTTCCAATTATTAAGAGAAAGGCAAAAGACTTTCCAGTTTTTAAAGAATCATTGGAATTAGTTTCAGTTTAATATGTAATATTTAAGTGAGCCTCAGGGAGTTTATGTATTCATTGTCTACATACAACAGCTTAAAAAAAATGAAATTCCCAATTCGTCTTCTGTCTACAGTTGTGATTTAATAATGTTTCATGTATTAAATTATACATACTTATTTGTGTGTTAAATAATTATCGCAATGCTTCCAGAAGAGTGAAATGTTTATCTAGGTATAATTGCCTGTCTCAAAATTAGATGCTGTGTTGTCTTCATAGCAGGGAAAGCTGAGGGCTGCTTTGTGAAACATGCGTAGTATTTCGCTATGTCAAATCAGAGGTCCAGCTAGCCCAATATTCTGTCTCCAAGAAGTATCAAAAATCATTACTGCCAGTTTGCATTTTTCTCAAACTTGAAAATTTGGGGATATTGTTCTAAATAACTTAGATTAATTCAGTAACATGAAATAGTTGTATAATCCACAGAATTAGGTAACCATTTCTGGGACTTAATTAAACTATTATCATATATTTTCTTTTTGACTAATGAACCCAGAAATTACTAACCACAGTGCAAAGTAATGACTAATTCCTTTAAGTATTAAAAACTACCTCTTTCAAATTATAAGGCATACTTTCCTTGAAAATGATAGATACTCTAATAGATAAGTCTTCTAAGAGTGTGATTTAATTCTCACGTCATTTATTTAACCCGAGTCATATTATAGCTTAATCCTTTTCTTTCCCAGTTTGGAAAGTGTTTTGTCTTGTTTCAAAGTCTGGCCTCATGTGGATGCTTCTCTAGTGTTCTCATCATTTTGGCTGGCATTTACTGGAAATTTTCTGAATTGTTTTACATTCTCTGGGGTGTGCTGGCAGATTCCTGCAGATGTGGATGCAGATGGGGCTGTGAATGAGAGTGAATGATGTGCTCTGTTTGGCTGTTGTGTCTTCAGTAGCTGGCCTTTCTTG